AACACTACTGTGAAAAGATTTGAAAACACTAATTAAAAAGCTGGCCATATTTTTACGGTTACATTTTCAAATTGTTCCATGGTTAATTTCTCACTTCCAGTAGCTTGCTTTTGAATTTAACTGACTCGAAGTCGCTGTCGTCGTTGTTTTCGGAATTTTATAAAACTTGTAAAAACAATTTGTTTGCTCTCATTAACAGTCAAGAAATGTTTGTTAAGATTGACTCCCTCAAAGTTTGACGTAATTCTTATTCCGTGGTGAATTCTAATTAGACGCGGCTAATTGCCAAAATTTCAATACTTGAAACAAGCGTGTTGTAATGATAGTGCTTTATGTTAATTACTATGTTATTTCCGGGGTTATTTCCATCTTAATTGATGTTCACATTTTCTCTGGTTTTTTTTTTTTTTTACTTTCTCTCTCAATCTTCACTTGTAGGGTTAGAATTAAGTTAAGCAAATTAATGTAATTGCTGGTTGGTAACTAAAACTGCGGTGACTTCATAGTCCAGACTCAATAATGTCCGGTGCTTGAGACGAAGTAAATTGGTCGTTCAGAAACTAATAAGTATGCTTACTTGTCCAAGTGGACGGTTCCGTAAAGCCCCGCCCCCGATTTTGTTGCTAAGGGGGAAAAAAACTACAGTATAAACGCAAACTAACATTATTTTTGGGATATATGCATATAAGTTATTGAATAACAAGGTCTGATATAGTCAGGTTTTGTAGACATTCCTATGGTGGAAAGGTCAAGTAGGCAAAAGATGTCATGGTAGACATGTTAATTTCTTGACTGGTGGTTTACTAAAAAGAAATAACCTAACTGGAAAATTTCGATCAGGATGGGTGAACGTATCTACTGCTGTGGTGTTTCTGTAGCTCAATGACTCAAAAATTAAAATATCTCCTTTTATTTTTCTTTTTATAGAATGGGAATAACTAGTAATAGGTTTATCTGTGGAGAAAAATGAAAGAAAATGTCTAACATGAAGGAAGTATATAGCTTTAATCCACAGCTAGTCTTTAAAACATGTTCTAACATTTCACGTTTACAAATGTGCGATCTCAGTATCGTACGTACCAAGTGCTCTATTGGTTCGATTATATTTATTCATATAACCCATCATTATTAACATTTCCTTTCAAAAAACTGATGTAAATTGGATATACATGTCTTCAGTGTGTGTAATGTGCTGCCAAAAAATTGCAGAAAGAATGAAGCACAGATTTTAAGATAAAACGACCTGTCATTTTCCCATAACTCATTCAAGTTCGTTTTCTCAAATTATCAGCATTGTAGCTTTGCAGCTAACTGGCCAATAGTACATAGAAAATATATGTAAAAAAATAGTCCTGTGTCTATAAGGCTACAATGACTACTGTTGATAGTGTATCTGTGTTGTTTACATAATAGGATTCCTAACTGGTGCAGAGGATTTTTATACACATGAAAGTGATTATCTGTTCCCTGGAAAACGTAAGCTGTGGAAAGGATTCGATTTAAGGGAAGATGATGATAATATTGCATGGAATTATCAAGGGTTTTACTCTACTCATCTGTTTACCAAAAAGGCACAACGAATCATAAAAAAACACGATCCAGCCAAGGTAAATAAAATGTGTTTTAATGAAACAAATTCTCTATTCTATCAACGCAAACGTTTTAGAAACGTTTAAAAAATTATACAAGGTATGATAGAAATGGTGCCTATGCGCAAGAAATTGGTAGAGAAATTTTCGAGGGCAAATGAAGTTACGTCCTTTAAAACGCAACATCATCGATCTATCTCTGAAAAGCCGGGCATCACTGCGCCCGACGGTCGTTGGCCGACGCGATTCTATGGAGATTTGCAACGCGACGACGCGCGCCTAAATGATCGTTTTTAATGACGATCCGTTCAGGCGACCACCGACGACAATCAGCAGACGGCGTCGCCTCGTGTAGCGCTCACATGAAGCGGAGTTGGATTCGTCATGCGACGGTCGTACTACCGTCGTACGACGCAGTGAGTGCCCGGCTTTTCAGAAATAGACACTATCGCCAAAATTAACCACCAAATTAGCCACCTCAGCGACCAGATTACCTAATTAACACACTGTTATACTTTTTTTTTTTGTGTAGCCACTGTTTCTTGTCGTGTCCTTCCAAGCCGTCCATGGACCGCTACAAGTTCCAAAAGAGTATTTAAAACCATATAAATACATAAAAAATGAAAAGAGGAAAATTTATGCTGGAATGGTTTCGTGTATGGATGAAGCTGTAGGCAACGTAACAAAAACGCTAAAACATACTGGATTGCTGGAAAATAGCGTCATCGTATTTACTACAGGTAAATTCTTACACACCGTTCAGCAACCTATGAGTTGCGACCTAATGTTAGGGTCGCAGAATTTGTTTAATGGGTCGCATTATCTCTTTAGATAGTGGAAAATATACCTAATACTAACGACAGTAAATAAACGTTCAAAAAAAGTATGGCATATGCGTCAGTTTACTTTTGTAATACGTGTGTTATCAATAGTTCCATGTTAAATAATATAGGTTTTATCAACACATTTGCACTTCACGTATGATGGCAACTTAAAAGTTTTAGTTTTGTTTATTTCAATGAGTTTGGCTTTCAGTTGAAAATCATAACGAAATTTGTCTCGTAAATTAAATGTGTATCTCTTAAAAATATACTTTCAGATAATGGTGGTAGACCTCACTTAGGAGGCTACAATTGGCCACTACGAGGAGGGAAGAGTTCGCTATGGGAAGGTGGTCTTCGAGGTCTTGGGTTTATACATAGTCCTTTGCTGCCACCAAGAGTCAGAGGAACTGTTAATGACAATCTAATGCACGTCAGCGATTGGTTTCCAACTTTGGTAGAAGGTGCTGCGCATGGCTCCGTCGGAAAGCTGGAATTAGATGGATTCAATATGTGGCCAGTCTTGAGGTAAAAATGTGCACGTTAGAGAAATCTCTTTAAGTTTGATATTTATAGTAGGTTTTGGTGACGACGTTGAAAAGGACTACCTATCTAACTAAACTGTTTAATTTATTTGCCTTATTGTATATACGTTGTACATTTATATTTGTTTTCATTCGAATTTTAAGTGGTGCGACAAAGACGTCGCCAAGGAAGGAAATCCTACATAATATAGATCCTTTAAGCCGACAGCCACGTTCTCAACGAGGACTACAAAGTAGGCAAAGGAAACGTTGGCAGAAGTACTTTGATACAAATATTCGGGCGGCTATCAGATTCGGCAAGTGGAAGCTTATAACTGGGCAGCCAGGTAAGTGATGGCACCTGTAAAGATCCAGCATGCCATGAAAATTTACAATTTTCAATATATATATATTACAATATAACAATTTTTAGTGTATTGCATTTGGTTTTAAGAATTGTGTATGTTTTGAAATGAAGTCACTTTTCTTCACAGGTGATGGATCGTGGTATATTCCGCCAGAATTGTACAAGAACAACAAGCCAATACGATCAAAGGATGATAAAATTAAACGTCTTTGGTTATTTAACATTGCAGTGGACCCAACAGAGACTATAGATCTCAGTCGTAAACGTCCAGATATAGTGAGCATGCTGTTGAAACGACTGTCATATTATCATAAGCATTCTATACCGCCAACATTCCCAAAGAATGATGTAAAGGCTAATCCAAAGCTATACAATCAAACTTGGACCGACTGGAGTTCAAGAAAAGCAAAAACTTGACAGATAATTAGCGTGAACACAGATATTTTTCTTGATCATGTACGACCATTTATTGTCTCAAATTGATAATGTTCACAGAAGGTTAAAACGGTCCGTGTCCAATACTTATTTTATTATTGAGTTTTGGTTTTGGTTTTGATTTGATTGTTGGTTTAGCAAGCGGTTTTTTAGCACTTGGATTTTCAAAACCTGGTTTTTCAAATGGAGACTCTTCAGTGATGGCTACTGCTTGGTAGGTACCATAGTAACCAGTTCTAGCAAGGATGTCATCACTCTTGAAAATCAGTGTTATGCGATTGCTGTCAGATTCCCAGACTAAAGGAGCATCGAGTGAGCCACAAAGTTTTTCGCTACTGCGGCCAGTTACGTCATCGATTATCTGTTTAAAAAAAGTAAGATAGTGTATTAGTGAACTAGCAATATGTTGTCCTATGTTGTACTGCACTACTGGCCTCGTATGTCTTTCTCAAAATAATTTTAGACGTACCTGCAGGTAATCCCAATCGCAAAGCTTGTAGTTTTCGATGTCCATGAAGCGAATTGTGACGATGATATGGGTGTTGATCTTCGTCTCGATGGTGGTTCGGCAGAATTCGTTGTTGGGATAATAAGAAGGGAACTGTGGGCTGTGAACGACTCCGTAGTTTTCAGTCAGTCGGCCAGCGTTGAAGTTACAAAAGGGTGGTAGAGTTGGAGAAACTAGGAATGAAGCACAGTATCAAATGAATAGCAATTCTAAAAAGCAATAAATGTGGTTGCATTTTCAGTTGTACTAATAATTTACCTGTCGTGGGCGTTGCTGGTTTTGTTCGCTCAACGTATAAAGCCTTGAAGCCTGGATATGTGTTGCTGCCATCTGAATAGAATGTAACTACTACTACGTTGTTGTTTGAAATTACAGAATGTCCTTGTAATTGACCACACAGCTTCGGACCTTGTGATATCTGCAAGACCACCATAGAAACTACTAACATACAACACCTACAACATACTACAAACTACCAATACAAATTTTATTGCAATTCCTAATATTGTAAACATAAATTGTTTAAATTAGGAAAGATTAAACTAGGCTTGAAATTGCAACAGAAAAAAATTCAAAACACAAAAAAAAATTGTTAAATATCAAACCAAAAAAAACCCCACAAAAAACAGAAAAACAACTTGCCTGAACGTAATCCGAGCAGTAACCCAATGTAGGTGGCTCAATATCGAACTCCAGGAAATCAATTCGTACAACTTTATTTTGACTTACGGTGATTGTAAACACGCATTGCAAATTGTTACCATAGTTGGATGGAAAATTTGGACTTGAAAACATACCGGATGGTCTCGGCAGATCACGAGAGCAACTCTCTGAAGAAAGAAAGCGTAAAAGCTCTGTCTACACTATCAAATGTTCTTTGACAAGAAAACTATTGTATGCTCATACAGCCATATATGTTCATGATGTGATGTCATCATGACCATATTTAAGCATGTAGCATGTTTGTCAAATAATATTTGGTCGTCTGGACAGAACTTAACGTTTATTGCAAGGATACAGATTTGTAAAGAATTAAAGCAACAAGTTGTTTAATTTTACCAATTTCCATTCGCTTTTGATGAGTCTTGAAAGAAGCGCGAAATCCAGTATCTGTTACAATATGATCAGTGTGTAACTTGATGATGGCACTGTTGGTCGTAGAATTCCATTTCAGCAAGTTTTGGTGATCGCAATGTCGTTCGGTTATTCCTTCACCAACACTACTAAGCTCAATGTAATCATCAGTACAATGTTGACTCGGTTCAAGATCAAAGTACTCAAATTTGACTTCAATGATGTAGTTAGGATCAGCAATAATTGAGTAAACACAATCTAGGTCATTTGCATACTTGGCGGGATAATTTGGCGATTGAAACGTCCCTGCATTATCGGTAAGGATTTCATCACAATCTGATATTAAAATAAATAATATATTAAAGCATCTGTATTTCATTAAAAAGTAAATTTCATATTTAAAAGCAAAATAAAGTTGACTTACACGAAATACGAGTTTTGGGTTCCATTTGATAGCTTGCATTGAAACCGCCAAACACGCGGCTTTCGTCTGATACAAACGTAATATTCACCTCATTACTTTCAGATTCCCAAATTAAATTATAGTGTTGGCCGCAGATAATATTCGTCTTCCCCGTTGCAACATCCTCGATCTACAAAGATTGTTGAAATATAAACAAAACGATTGTTTTGTATCTATACCCTCTGAGCACTAACAAAATATGGTTTTATTATTTTGTTGACGAGGTTGGCTTTCCCCACCAGAACCAGAACAGTATAATAATTTTAAACAATGTACCTTTACGTAGTCTCGTTGACAGGGAGTTTCCAATTCAACATCAAATAATGTAAAATCGATAACTATTTTCTCTCCCACATTTCCTTTCAACAAGTAGAAACACAGCACATTATTTTCGTACTGTGGATGCCCTTTTGCCATATTGGGTGATTGTACAATTCCATTAGGACCAAGATAGGTAATATTACAATCTGAAAGCGTAGACAAAATTATTACGGTAGTGAATTGAGGCTTATGTAAATGGGTTGCTACTATTGCGTAGGTCAAAAATTGTATTTAATATTCAGTAAATAAAGTTTAGAGACTGTAGAGGCGTTTTATTTCAGTGTTTTAACAGATTTATATATGAATTGCGCCTTAATAATAACTTACGTGGTGCTGGCAGTGGTCGTTTAAGAATTGTGTACTGTGCCAGATATCCAGTATGAGCAAGTGTTTTGTCAGTTTCCAATCTCAAGAGCAGGGAGTTACCCTCCGATGTCCACGATGATGGTTGGTGACGATCGCATATACGTTCCGAATGATCGTAAATCAATCCAACTGAGGTGTCGGTCACCTGTAATGGTCAATATTATTAGATAATGTATTCTGTTAATAATAAGCATACTATAATTCATAATTATTGGCTACTTACGTTTAAGAAGTCGTTGTTACATCCCATAAGATTCGGTTTTTCTAGCCAAAATTGTTCGAAAACTATTTGGATACGACAATCTGTCTCTGTTTGGATGATCATGTCACAGGCGATATCGTTGGGATAAAGATCCGGATAATTGGCAGTTTCAAAGTCTGAATTTGTTTCCGAGTTTGAATCTGAAGTTAGAACCTTACTGCATTCTGAAAATAGGATTTACAGTTATCTATTATGTATTAGGTCTAATATTATATACAAGGTACTGTGCATTACTAGGGTGTTAGAGGCTTACCAGATGGTGGCACTTTAAGAACAGCTGTGTAATATACTCTGGTATCACGACTGGGTGGATGCCTGGCGTCCAAGATCACTTCGTTGCTGTCTGACACCCACGACATGATACCATCAAAGAATTTACAATCGCGGAAGGTACGAAGTGTAGTTGAATCCGTAATCTATGAATGAATAGAAAGCCATTTAGAAATCAAAAATTATCTTGTAGTATAAACTGTGCATGCCCATACACACAACATTATGTAGATTGACTTTTAAAACGGGAATGCGCAGTTTCGACTAATAAATGGCTTATTGCTTACCGTGATGCTTTCAGTGTCGCACCGTTGTAGGATTGCCGGCAAATGAATATAGTTGATAACCAATCGGTAATTTGGTGCAGTGTGAATAAGTAGTTGATATGATTGGTGATCCGCTGGTAGTAAAATGTTGGCACTATCCGCAAGAGCTACAACTATAAAACGGGGACAAATTATTGGGTACGGTACATTTCCATAGTACTTTGTATATTGGTTACTTACTGTTGGTGCCGTTATATTTTTCCTACCTGGTTCTCCTGTCCTGACAACCGCTTTCCATTTAGCTACCATGCGAGGTAATTTATCCTTTCTAGCAAACACGCGAAGTTTCAGCTCATTTGTGTCTGTTGTCCAAGAAAACGGATGTGAAATTGCACAATAGGTGTTCGTTCGTTCGGTTGCAACATCAGTTACCTGTAGAAGATTTAAATTATTTACATAAACTTCTTTCGAACACTTCTTGTATATCGCTATACAAACCGGTTTGAAATATACGTTACCTCAATACCACTGTCTGAACAATTAAATACTTCAGCAAAGTCATCGAATGTTAATTGGATTCTGTTTGTAGGATGTGTGTAAATATACAAAAGACAATCAGCATTTGCAATGTCCTTTATCACGAACTTCGGAAGTTCAACAAAAACCTTCGTGTCATTGTGTCGAACATAGCATTCTGAAACAAATATCAAGCATAATAAGTTTGGATTAGTTTCAAATACAATATTAAATCCAAATGCCATATAAATAAATAATACAAATGACCCACCATTTACAAGTGGACGCTGTACATGTTTGTATTTTGCACGGAACCCGGTAAATTTAGATGAACGTGGACCACTGTTAAATCTTACAGAGACTTCATTAGTATCCGATGTCCAAGAGAATAGTGGATATGATCCACATAGCTTTTCAATACGTCCACTGCCTAGATCAAGTAGTTCGACGTAATCGGTCTCGCACGGCTGGATTTCAAAATCCGTGAAGTTGAAAGAGACGAGATTTCCTGGTTCGGAGTGCACGATATGTCTGCAGTCTATGTTGGATTGATATGGTAATGGAAAGTTGGACGATACGATAATACCGGTTGGTTTTATAATACGATTATCGCATCCTGTAATAAAAACAACAAATATTGAGTAAATTTAAATGGACAAACATAATACAAATCATAAATGCAAAGCCAAGTCAAATTATAGTAAATTATTTTTGACAGGCGCTGCCCGTGAGCCATCCATATTATCATAAATTTCCATACTGTATATTATATAGCAGACGGTTGGTTACTGTACCTTCTATTATTGGAATAGACCTGTATGCCGCTCTGAATACATTATATGTAGGATACGTCGTAATGTGGAAAGTTATTGCTACGAGATTGTGGTCTGATGTCCAAGTAAACAAATCAAATTCTCCACAATAAACATTACTTCGGCCGGTGGTCAAATCTTTTATCTACGTAAAAAAAAGTGTATTTTTATTTTTGCAGCCCGAGGTCTAATTACGTACGTTTTCAAATCGAACCAACTCTTAGTGTTTCTAAAAACCATTACTCCATGTTGTAGGAAGTATGGTAATGTTCGACACGACAAAAGTGGTTTTGACGCGGCAATTTCTATTTCTGATCGTGCTTGCCAACATACCCCACTTAAACTACTTTGATTGGCTGTGAAGTGTTTCATGCTATTTCAGCCCCATGTGAAACATTTTATGACAGTAAAACTGTAAATTGTGGTCGGATTTCATCATCAAAATTATGCGATCACTGGTCCTATTATATATTTGTTATTTGTTATTTTGTTATTGTTATGTTATTTGTTATTTTTATATAGCGCCTATTCCGTTAAGTGTTTTAGTGTTGCTGTCATATTGGCGCAGTAGCAGGCAACCCCACTAGGTACCCATTTATACTCCTGGGTGGAGAGAAGCAAGTGCCTTGCTCAAAGACAAGCGAAATGCACAGCGAGGGATTGAAACCCCGACCTTGAGGTTGGGAAACCAAACCGCTTCCACAATTATAGAAAACATTACCTCCAAAAACTGTTCCCCCGTACAAGTTATAGATTCGCTGTTTTTTGTTTGTTCGTCACCAATTAGAAAATCGGTCAACGAAACTACAATACTAGTTTCTGGATTTGTCTGAATGAAAACCGTACAATTCTTTCCGACGATCTCGTCCCTATTGTGTTCAAGAGAAGATATTATCCCATCTGGAGCAGTCAGGAATTGGTTGAAAACTAAAAAGAAAATAATGTGGTCGTATGATATTAGTGCAATAGGCTATATTATGTGACGGTACCGATTGTTAAATATGGGAACTTACACGATTGTTTAGTTCTGGGAATGACACTGTAGATTGCTTGTATTTCGGCGTAAGTCTTAAGGTTACGACGGAAATCTAGTGTTATTTCGTTAGAATCGCTTAACCATGAGAACTCCCAAAGTGTTGAACAATACTGGCTCTGACGTTTCGTTGTCGTATCTAGAACCTGAAGTTGAAAATATTTTAGTTCAGTTTATGAATAGATGAATAATATAATCGATCAATTGTTTTTGTTGTTAGAGCAACACTCACGGTTAAAGAATGCTCCGCACAATCTGCTTTGTCCATTTTCATTGTTTTAAATGTTAATAAAACACGTTTGTCTGGATCTGTACGGATGACAACATTGCAATGGCCAATTGAACCCGTGCCTTTCAGTGATACAACACCAGCTTTATTGGTAAATAACGATTCGCAACCTAAACACACACAAAAAAAATGTTCAGATTTGCGTGCACCCAAGATGTGCAAATAAAATATAATGTAAATAAAAATTTCAATAAATTACCATCTTCTGATCTTGACAAAACTTCGTAATCTGCAATAAAAGATACAGATGAGATTTCATTTTCGTCACGTACATATATTGCCAATTCGTTGCGGAAGCTCGTCCATGTGAATGGGTCTAAGTGACCAGTAAATGTAGCCCTGTTGGTTTCTCCATGTAATGCGATGTCGTAAATCTGTAAAAGATTAAGTATCTCATTAAGTTTCTATTAATAAGCAAGCATGTTTTAATTTAGCTATTGTATCTTGTGAAATTACCTCTACAAAATCTTTGTCGGAGTCCAAGTCTGAAACTACAAAGGTCACAAAATTGAGGCGGATTTTTTCATGTGGTTCGGCGTGAATAATGATCAGGCAATCCGACCCTTTGATTGGTGGCCAGTCGGGGTTTGCTGGAAGCTGAATACGACCAGATTTTTCACGCAACATCGTACTGCATTCTGCAATTATAATTACAAAAAAAAATAAATTTTATAATACAATATTCAATTCAATTTAAATACTTCAGCTATCAGGAGCTATTATCCGCCGAAATACAAACAATAAAACAATATATACAAGGGGTAATTTTGAGCTTAGCTATTATAGGGCCACACAGGAAGAGCGGTTCTGATGTCAAGAGAGGATGTGGGGGGATCGAGAATGAAGTTGTATGAAAGGCATCAAATACGTGTGATGGGCTACACAACAAAAAACCATTACCAGTGTTTTCGAGAGTTCTTGTTGGTCGATGTACAACTGTACAATATGCCTTGAAGCCGGATCTTTGGTTGGTAGAGTCCGATTTGAAGGTTAGCGATACCTCATTGGAATCAGACGTCATAGTAAAAGGTTCTTTTTCTCCACACAATCTTTCCGATAACAGCCCTGATGTTAAACTATTGAACTATAACAAAATAGTAATTGTCAATGAGGTTAATAAATCGTTGTTTTACCTAATATATATTATATAAATATATATATATTAATTCACTCAAATGTATTAATACATTTTAATTGTGCAAATGTCGTCACCTCTACATAATCTGATGAACATTGCTGACTGTCTTGCAAATCAAATTCTTCAAAGTCAAACACTATATATTTGTCCGGATGTTCTTGCAACAATAAGGTACAAGAGACATCTTTGGGGTAGTCTTCTGGGTAGTTAAGAGATGTCAGAACGAACGACGACTCTCCTTTTCGAGTTATTGTGACACAATCTACAATACAAATCATAAGTGACGACAGATGTTATTTCCTTAATTGTATATATAACGAATAAGCCTATATGTATTATACACATTTGCATTGCTGACCTGGTGCTGGGAGCCTAATGAGAGATTTGGCGATTGCTTTAAATCCAGTGTAATCCAAAAGATGATTTGTCTTTAATGTTACCACAACCTCATTGCTCTGCGATGTCCAAGAAAAATTATGGTAGCTGCCACACAGTTGAGAAATAACCTCTGTGGATATATCACGGATCTAAAAATATATACATAATTGAAGGTCTCTGCATAATGTTGAAAAAAGACTGGAAATTGCAAAAATCACAAATGCAGTTTTACATATGATATGAAAAAATATGATTGCAAGAGCATTTACCTCTATATAATCTGCCAGACAGGTTTCGACTTTATGTTGGCCTTTTGGAGGTTCTAGCGTAAATTCGGAAAAATTTAACGATATCACATTATCAAACGATGTATGAAGGATAATTTGGCAATCAAGGTTACTGGGATACGGACGCGGAAAATTTGGAGATGTCAGTTCGAGTCCATCTTCAGGAATGCCAATTACCAAATCACTGCAGCCTAAGAGAAAATATACACTGATTACATTACTTCGAAAACAATATCGTTCAGTTCAGTTTCTAATTGATAACAAGGTTTCATACTTTTGTTACTTGGACGCAGAAGAAACTCGTAATCCAATTCCACGGTTGTTCGTATATCCGACTTGTATGTTATTACGACTACGTTTGCGTCCGACGTCCAGGACACAAGCTCATGTTTACCACAGACGTTCTTAGTGCGTTCAGTTAATAGATCTCGTATCTGAAAAAAGTTTACAGATTACTGTATTTGAAGCGCATTAGGCAACTACATCGAATATTGATGCATTCTTATCCTAGAGATAGGTTGGCATTTTATAATAATAATTATTATTGTAATAATACAGTATTTATAAAGCGCACAAATCCACTGCAGTAGTGCTCAAGGTGCTACAGGAGGAAGGAACCAAAAATTACCACGAACCTTAAAGCTACAAGAAAGGAAACGCCACACCATCACGGCATATTATATTGTACAGTTGTATTTTTAGCGGTTGAAATCGACTGACACAATTAAGGTTACCCGAATGTGGTGGAAATTGGTTCTGACCTCAGTAGTTCTTTAATTCTTTGGCAAGGGCTGCAGTTGTGATCTTTAAGCCTATTCCAAATGCTCTGTTACGCACAAATCAGCATTGTTTTGGAAGGGATGGCTGCGAGTCTTCCATCTACTAAATGTAATCGTATTTTACTTTTATTGTTAGGACATGACAGCTACGACAGCTATTGAACAGGGTGATGATTTGACCTACCAGTTGTATCAATTTCTTTATAAACATTTAAAAATTCTAAAGTTACCTTCAATGGATGCTGACAATTTGGTATATTAATTTCCCTGAAGGATACCGAAACTCGTTCATTTGGATTAGCGTGAATCACCACTTCACAATCTTTAATGGCTGGTTGATTCATTGGACTGGATTGGATAGGATAATGGAAAATATGATCCTTTTCTGTAAGATCCGAGCTACTATATCGTCCAAATTCGCCTACAAGCACAACGCTACAATCTTTGCAGGAAAAAAGAATATTGTCATAATAATCAAACTATCTTAAATGCATGTAGGCAAGACCGTAATATATAAATTAATTACCATTATTGGGCGCTTCGTCGAGTGTACGGTAGGTGGCGTTGTATCTGTTAAACAATTTCTTGGAAAGGGCATTCATTGTTACAGACAACTCATTTGAATCTGTTAACCAAGTGAAAGGATGAAATGTTCCACAATATCGATTGTTTCGGTTGCTATTCTCATCACGGATCTGAAATGATTAAATTTGGATTAATTTTAAAGAAAAATATAGATATAATATTTCATATTTTGTAAACTATAGATACCCCTATTTGCTACAAGATTCGGCTCACCTGGACATAATTATTTTTATCACAAATATTTGTTCCTTCAAGGGTGAAATTATTGAATGTCAGGAGAATTCTTTTAGTAGACTGTACTTCAACCTTAACTTGACATTCGGTGAAGTCCACAGATTTCCTAGGCCAGTTTGGAGAGGTGATACATCCAGTGTCGCTCTGAAGCTGTCGGTCACAGTTTGGTGGTATTATAACCACTCCGTCAGTTTGGCGTGCATGAAGATTAGAACTCTATAATGTAAAAAAAACGTGGCATTTCAGTACAAAATAAAATGAGGAAATGAACGGAAAATATAGGAATTCACTATGTAGGCCTAAATGCCGACCTCTGACTTCGCAATTACAGCCATGAAGAACAGGGCAAAAATCACAGCAATAACGCTCTCCTGTCGATTCCTCATCATAGAGTCCACGGCAACAACAAACCACTATGAAGTAAAAATGATGTTTGCTGAAACTCTCGTTCGTCATTGTTTAAGTAAACTACGTTATTTTACATACGCTTTACCTTTATCCAGGTGCCTACTTACCAATCAAACCATCAACATTTGCATATCGTATTTTAACTACTTCTCTTGATTGTGAGACTTGGTCCTTTCAGACATTAAAATCTGCAGTATTATTAGTAGTATTATTATGTGGGTTCGAATATCGCTCAGACGAATGATTGTGAGAAATGGGAATAATAGGCCTACGTGTCTTGGATTGGCAAATATTTAAAAAAAAAATGCCTTGATCAATCGTTTGGTAGCAATACAGACTATTAATGTGAATATATTTTTCATCTTATATGCTAGTATGAATGGTATGAAATACTGAAATAGACTTAAAGATAATATTTGATGGTGACATTGTTACTATTTGCAGAGATTACTTGCTTGTACATTATAGTTTTTGCACGTCGTTACCTGTCGCATTCATCACAAGCTTTAACAAAGTTTAATTTATGATCCAAATAAAACGAATTATTTCGGCAGAAGAAAGCAAAAAAGTCAAGAGTGGAATACAAAGAAAGATCTTCTATTGGTGTCTCAAAAACCCGGGAAAATCAGTTTAAGATGCTGAAAATTTGCAATGAAGTAAACACTTAGAAACATAAAATAACTTAATATAGGCCTATATTGCTAAGGATTAAAACTTCTGGTATCTCGAAGGACGCATATTCTGGACGCTCTCTGGATTTTTTATAAAATATTATATATATGATAATATTTGTAGGTGTGTGTATGTACCAATGGGCTTAGTCTCGAGAAGAAGCCCATCTCGATCAGTTTGCAAAAGTAATCTGGATAAGAAGCCCGGCTAAAAAAAATGGCCTTTTAATATGGGTTGTTTTTTTTTTAGATAGTACTTAAATTCAGGCTGACGTTATCTTTGATTATTATGTATCATTAGTATCAATATTATTTTATTTATTAAAGTAGTTGAATTTTAAAAAAATGAACAGAATGTTGAATTTCATAGTTGAAAAATGTCGTATAGTAGCAGTTCCAAAATTTACAGTATTAATTTTTAAAAGATACCCCCTATTTAGTCTTGTCGTCAACTTACAAGAAGAGGGCGTACCATATAGAACCCTTTCGGTGTTCAAATCGGCCTGGCTGAAACGCTGACAGCGCTCACACTTTTCAACATCCGCGAAGAGATAAGACACAAATTTAATCTTGCCCATTCCTTTATTCTTTACCAAATTTTTGGATAAGTACAATAAGACACTGCTTGACTTCACAGGGACGATTTCAGTACTACATATCTTGTTGAATATCTGCAACGCACTCAACTATATCATCAGTTGAGTATTTTATCATTTCAGCATTAATACAATCACTCCAGGGGCTTCTATTATTTTTCAATTTCTTTATGCTTTCTTTATCTCCTCTTTTGTATATGGCTGATTAATGGGAAACTAATCTACATGGAAATTTTCTGATTCATCTATTTTGTTATACACTGTTTTAAAAAAGTCAGTGTGCTCAATACAATACTGTAGAGCATATTATAGTATAGTATATTTAGTATAGTATATTACGCTAGGTATAAATATGAGTTATTACATCAAGTTTCACGCTTAATGGCGATCATCAGACAACTGTAATTAGGTCTAGGTGTTGTTAGGCCTATCCTATTTATATTGTTCATCATGGAGTGGTTAGCTGACTCTATTGTTTTTAATACGGTTTAGTGGGTTGCTGTTGTGACGACACTTAGCGACTAGTTCGGTTCTTTTGTTTATTTTAGATTGTTTTGCCATTAGGATAGGATAGTTTTTCTTCTATGCATAGGTTGCATTGGCCAGATTTATTTTTGTGTGTGTTGGATTTCTTAATGATTTCCAATTTCAGAGAGTATTCTTAGCCCTTTCTTTTTAATTCCCACATGTGTTTTGAGAGTTCTGTTTCTTTTTCATATTTTTCCTGCCTGAAGGACTGATAGTCCAACGTAGAGTTTTTCCCCTCGTCGGAAGTTATTGTAGCACTATATATCAGTGCACTTTTTAGGCATTCGCCGCGTAGTGTGCAGTTCTCTTTATTTCTGCAGTTGCATATCTTTGGATTTGTTAACTTCCTTGTATATATATATATATATATTATATATATATATATATATACATATATATAATATAATCTCCAAATGTATAACCAGACCAAGTAGCAACTCGATAATATTGCAAACCTGCGCAAAGCATAAATTAACGGTAACATCAGAGTTATTTACTATTATGAGAAGAGTTTATTTGTTGTTTTATTAAAACCAATAAGTGTGAATGCATATGAAGAAAGTTCGCAATATGTTAGAATTATCGTTTTATAGCTCCATGCTCTGACAAAGGTCTGAGAACACTATAACACCAAGAGTCTTAATGGGTAGTGGCGAGTCAGGCTCAATTAAGTATGCGTTTTCTTGTTTAAGGTTTGGTTGAGGAATGAATAATTCACAATATGTCGAATTTGGCCGTCACTTCACTTGGTTTTTTTTTCTCATTATTTGATTCTATAAAGAACAACCAAAGTGCCTAACACTATAGACTGAGTTCAGAGATTGTTAAATAATGCGTTTTAAGACAAAAAATGTGTTGACCGTTACTGTATAGTATAACGTTAAAGACAGCAAGTTACGTGAAATTGTATTAATCTATCAGATATTATTACCATGTTACCAGTAAAAACACTGTTTTTCCACAGTAACAATGGCAATAATGCGAGCATTGATGGTTCACAAAAGTGATAGCAGGCCTATGAGGCCAGATAAAATGTTTAGATCCTTTTCGCCAAGTCAGGAAAAAAGAAAATCCTATGTATGCTATAGACAGCAAAAAATGTTTGTAATGTTTCGTAAGAATGGAGTGAATCCTCTGGCCAAATCACTGCATCAGTATGAGAATTTTTTCACATCAAGAGGCTAAATCGACTGTTTATGAACAAAGTTGAAATAGAGTTGTGCAGAATCTCCTCTCCACCATCACCTTTACCGTCATAATTATCAACATCATTATTATTATTATTACTATTATTATTATCATCATCATTATCATCATCATTATCATCATTATTATTATCATTATTATTATTATTAATTAAGCGAGATGTGAAGTGAGAGGAAGTTTACTTATTTAATACAAAGTTCGCTAAGTTGTTTATTTTTGGAAAGAAGCAAGAGCAACTATTCCAATACCTTATAAATAGTGCCACTAACAATCACAACGCAAGACATTCAAATTCTCGGTAAATTTGTCATAAACCGTCAAAGAGTTAATCGTCATTTTGTACGTATGTCAAAAGTTAATTTCAAAACACATCTACACACCCAAACACCCCGTTCAAAAATAAATCACACCAAATAAGCATTGTTAGTGAAATCCATTTATTGCATCTGAATTCAAAATACAATGGGCTCTTTGATTTTATTACCCTTTTATACACTATTTATTGACATAGGCCTATTAAGGTTTTATATAGGGTTGTGTTTCTAATACAGGTACAGAATGGAATGTGCCATAGAATCCAGTGCGCTGCAACATATCGTCACTCTTGAAAACAAGTTGAACTTCATTCGAGTCTGATTCCCAAGTTAGAGGTCCCTCTAAAGAACCGCACAACCTTTCACTTGAACGACCAGTTTTTACATCTGTGAACTAAAACAAGCAAATAATATGTCTTGTCAACACATAAAAAATTAAATATTCAAATGTTGCTTCGTACTTTTTTAATACTATTTTTCAAATGAAAATAAGCAGAATTTAAAAATTTATTTTTTCGATTTGCTTATCGTTGTAATATCAATTGATATACTGTATTTATGATTAATCTCTTTCTATATTTTACTATAGACAGTAAATGAGGTTGTTCCTCCGTTGGTTTCAGTTACTAGCTAAAATTCATTTTTCATATTATTTGCTACTCCAAAGTTTAATATTTTTATCAGCATTATAAACGACATTAAGAATAAGAAGAAAAAGAAGATAAGTGCAAAGGTTATGGAAGGCACTGATACCGCGTTATTATTTGGGATAGATGTGAGGAGTTCACATCAAGGACAAGTTTAATATCAGATATGATGGCAGAAATTATCAGGAAGCTTTCGATTACCGTACTCGCGCGAATAATCGCCCGGGCGCTTAAAATATGTTTTGCCCTTTTTTGAGGGGCGCTTATTCAAACAGGGCGCATATGAAAACAGAGTGGAAATTGAGGGGGCGCGTTATGGAAATATATGAAAATTGAGGGGTTCTTCTGGGAACTTGCAAAATCCAATGAGCGATATTTGAATGAAAAAAATTATATGCCGTCCGAAAACCCGGCGATACGAATGGATCTGGTGCACAAAAGTTAATCTTCTAAAGAGCATAGCTCGTGACAAGAATTCTGTGAGTTTCGACAGCAGATGAAATTAGTGGTGGTGGTGGTGGTGGTGGTGTATAAGCTTGTTGGCCATCTGCTGCCAATTGAGATTAGCAGGATCATTGCAGGGTTTCTTGAAATCACATGAAAACGTGCTGAAGGTTCAAATTGTCGGAAAAAGAGAAAGAGAAGTAGACAAATGTTGGAAAGATACTGTTCAGAGAACTCTCATCTGTCCAGGATAAAATACCCTCATTTTGAAATTGACATAAGAAATGTGAATCCACTCATGGCATGATTAGGGCACAAAATCATGCCAACCACAGTCTCGGGATTAATTAGATTATCGTTTGCTAGAAAAAAAAATCAATCACAAGATATTATTTTTTTTAATGAATAAACACCTAGGGGCGCTTATTCAAACGGGGCGCTTATTCGCGCGAGTACGGTACACGACCACGTTAAGATCTATAAAAGAATGACGTAAAATGAAGTCATTTGCGCATGCAACAAAGTTGCAATCTTGTCTCATGAATTCTGGAACGCGCGTTTTGTCATTCCAGAATCTACGTTGTGCAGAGGATGCAGGAAGTTCAGTGATTCTGTGCTACCTGTAGGCTGACGTCGTATGCACACCTGTAACACAAATGGTTCTTGAATATTGTTTTATATAATAAACTCTTGTATTAGGACTACATTACGAAAAAAATGCTTATTTAAACCGGACTATAAAGCAGCCTTGAATTTGAGGTACAGTATGTTTAGCAGTAAGACATTAGTAAAACGATTATAAATGAAGGGGTACTGTATGCTAGTAAATGAGACCCTAGGGAAGTAATGTCCCTACCGTATGATGTTTGTTGGTGTTTTAAATTAAAGAAATTATGGTTTGTATATGAACTCATAGTGTATTTTGTAAGCCTGCAGAAGTTGATTAAAGCCGTTGTTACCAAGTGGAACTGGGACCATTGAAAACCAATTGGAATTGGGGCCCGTTAAAGTTGAAGACCAGTTGAATTGTCCAAAAACACACAACACCCACATTTTTTTAATAGAATACACAGATTTTCTATATAAAATCGTTCAATTTATATACACTTTCTATATAATTGTATAGAATTTCTATTCGCATATTTAATGTATTTTTATAGGGTTATCCCCTGAAAAAAAAAAAATTACAGTATAGCCTTGTGGCAATGATATAATCATTCAAACAATTTTTCCAAAATATTTTTTCAGCAAACCCCTAGTGTACAGTACCTTCTCCCAATGGCGTATCTAAGGGGTGCACCCCCCAAAATTATATAAAAATTTCCTTACAGTATATCGTATGTGAAGAAGCCGAAACTAAAATAAATAAATAATAATCCTTTGCTGCTGCATGCTTTAATTTGTTGTCGTACCTTTTCAGTGCGGTGCATGATGTATGGATTTGGTGATGATCAGAATCCTTACACGGAATCGGTGGATTTACTGGACGATTTGGTCATGGAATTTATAACTGAGATGGTATGTGCAATTAAAGTGTTGTTTGATTGCTGTAGTGTAAATAAACATTTAAATATTGTTATTTTGTTGTTATTTTATTTATATTTACTATTATTGTTACTGTCTCTTATACACATCTAGATGTGTATAAGAGACAGCGATAAATTCATTCAAGTATGCCATTTATTACGCTTGATATCAAACTAAGAACAATAATAACTATAAGTAGGATGGCTAACGTCATAATACCTGACGGGTTCTCAATCTCTATGAGGTGGTAGGATGCAGAAAACCCAATGTCGGTTACTACATGATCACTATGGAACGTCAAAACTGCATGGTTATTGGCCGATTTCCAATCGAATTGATCTTTTGCACCACAAAATCGTATTTTTCTTCCCAACCCTTCACTTGATACCTAATAACGAATTATAATTAAAAATAAATAGTTTTATATGATTATTTTACTAATTAGGAAATAGTTTCAAATGAATGATTAACTAACCTCGACGTAATCATTGCTGCATTCATCAGACTCTTCAAGTTTGAAGTGTTCAAATGTCACTACGATCAGATAGTCCTTAGCCACAAGTATTGTATACACACAGTCGTAATCGTTCGGATACTTTGATGGATATCTCGGTGACCAGAAATTACCACTGCTTTTGTGAAAAACCTGGTCGCAAACTAAAAGCGGAAAAATACATTCTTAGTGTCAATGAGTCGTGTATTCGTGTCGGTATGACATTCATATTAATTTCATTGTACGGATTTGGAATTAACTTGCCGTAGATTTGAAGAGCCTAAGGCCTGCGATGCGCATTTAATGTGTATTTTGTTATCAAGAGCGACTTTTATTAGGCACGAACGACAAAATCGATACGTGCGTATTTTTTATCGCTTTCTTAAAATTGCTTTACAACTCTTAGTAACGGATATGCAGCTCTAGATTCACTATCAATGTGTTTCTTACTTGAACTTGGATGGTTTAACTCCATTTTGTATGACGCGTTGAATCCTCCAAATACTTGGTTTTCATCTGTTATGAATGTGATATTAACCTCATTGCTATCAGACTCCCAGGTCAAATGAGGATGTGATCCACAGATTACGTTCGACTTTCCTGATGCAACATCTTCGATCTAAGGACGTAAACTCGTCGATGAAATCTCTAGTTCAGATCTACATTTCCTTAATATCTAATATTTTTTATGAAAAGTTTGAGCAAAAAAAGTGTAGCATACCAGTAAATAGTCTCTCGTGCACGGCATTTGTAGTTGGACGTCAAAGAAATGAAAGTCAATAAATATCCGTTCCCTCGCTTTTCCCTTCAGGAAGTAATAACATAGCAGGTTGTTGTCGTATTCTTGAATGTTATTGGCGATATTTGGAGATACGAAATTGCCATGCGGTCCAAAGTATGTTTTATTACAATCTAAATTTTTGAAAATAAAAAATACCATTCATTTCACAAACCAATCAATAACAAGTTACTTAAAATAGTTTCATGCAACTTACAATCGGCACAAACTGGATCATTAAGTAAAGTATATTCAGCAAGATAACCGATATGGTTAACGTTCTCGTCAGTTCGTATTTGCAGTAAAATAGAATTTCCTTCGGAAGTCCACGAAAAAGTATCATGACGCCCACAAATTGTTTCGTTGTATCCAGTGGTAGTGTCGATGACCTACAAGGGTAAGTATTAGTTATATTATTACTAACATGAATATTTCATAATTTGTAATTATTTTATAATTATTGAAGCGTCTTCTTTCTTTGAAATGTATAATGGTGAAGAACGCTCACGTCATAGCCATGTATGACGTGAGCGCGTCACCATGCATGGCACGCAGTTTAAACCTGTTTTTTTAGTGTATTTATTTACTGCTTGTGATCAGTATGCATACCGGAAAATGGTAGTCGTCTTTACAATATGTGTAGCACAGAAAAGTGTCTATTGGCCTTCATGCAACCGAGACCAACGTCTACAAAAACGCACTCCTAATATCCCAGCCCTCCAACTGAAATACGAGAGCTGGAAACATCAATTTTGCCAGCTGAAATTACGCTGTTCGCGAGAATACAAATTTATACTATTGTCATATTATTTGATTCTTTGATATTATATTTTAAGACTGACATACTTGGACAAAATCATGGCACACGTCGTCACTGGTTTGTTCAAACCAAAATTCTTTAAAAACTATCTGTACACGTAGTTGTTTACTTGTGTGTATCAGTATGTCACATTCCATGTTGTTTGGGTAGAATTCAGGATAGTTTATAGATTCAAATTCCAAATTTGATTCCAGTAATACTTTATTGCAATCTGGAATGATAATGGTAACATTATTGGTAATGCTGTACAAATATGTACAAACTGTAAAGCTGTACAAACTAGGACTACCAGTTTGTCTAACTTTAGGGCGTTCAATACAGAACTTCTTACCAGATTCCGGAGCCTTTACTAAGGAATAGAATTGTCCTTCAAAACGAAAACTTGTTTGTTGGCTGAAGCTTACAATGACTTCGTTGCTATCAGAAACCCAGGAGTGGGACTGAGTTACTTCGCAATAATCGTTACTTCTCAAAGAAGTGGAATCCGCAACCTACAAAAATCCAATTTGACGAAAAAGCCTGTAAATATTTAAACCTACGTATAAATCTCAAAATCTTTCCAAAAAATAGTGAAAACAGGGCAGTGATCACACTAATACTAAAATCACAGTACCTGTACACTTACGCTTATCTTAAATTCGTCGCAGTTTATATTATAAACCTCCAAAACCTCAATTACCAAGACAACCCTATTGTTTGGCACTGTATAAAGAATCAGCTTCACTGGTACAAAATCATTATTTTCCAACGACACAACATGTATTCCACTAAACGCCCGGTCATTTACAACTGTGGAAAAAATTCTAAAAACGTTTAAAAGTTTTTCTAGCATTACTATTAATAACTATACTATTAATATAGTAGGCCTGTTAACTATGGATCAAGTGTTAATACAATTTTCTTTCGTACAACTTTCAGTAACCCTCGGGATAAGTTTCCATCTCGCTAGAAAGTTTGGCAGACTGTCCTTTCGTGCGAACAAACCGATATGAAGCTCATTTGTCTCTGCTGTCCATGAAAACATGTGTGCAATGTCGCAGTATTCGTTTGTCCTCGCTGTGGCAATGTCTGTAAGCTAAATGGAATTTGTAATTAAAATATGATTACACTTTTTATGCACTTTAAATTATTAATATTTTACAAGTTATAATTTGCTTGCTTATTTACCACAATTCCACTATCAGAACAATTGCTGACTTCATCAAACTCCTTAACAGTCAATTGTATAATATGGCTTGGGTCTGTGTGAAGATAAAATTGGCAGTAGGCGTGTTCGGCATTCTTTACTACGAAGTTTGAAGGAACTTGAATTGGCACAGTTGGATCAAAGAGTCTGACGTAGCATTCTGTGGATATTGACAAAACAATCAAACAGGAAAATTTCGGATAGATTGCTCGGATAAGAGAAATTAACACATCACGAGTAATTTACCTTCAATCAATGACCGCTGTATTCGTTCATATGTTGCCTTAACGCCCTTGTGGTGAACATTATGTCCGCTGCTGTGGAACTCTACGATTACCTCGTTTGTATCCGATGTCCAAGAGAACAGTGGTTGTGATCCACATATTTTGCTTTGTCTATTGGTTCCGAGGTCTACAATCTGAAAGTGTACAGCAGCAAGTATTTTTGTTGAAACAGAATTATTATTGTGATATTTGAAACTTGCTGTCCATTTTTTTTAAATTTAATTATAACCACCTTTGTAAAATCTTTGCATTCTTCGGGAAATAAATCGAATTCTTCAAATTTCAGAGTCAGTAAGCTTCCAGGTTGTGCATGGATCACATGTCGACACCTACTGTTGCCAGGATATGGTTTTGGAAAGTTTACCGTAGAGATAGTTCCACGGATATTTTCTGAAATGTGGTCGCAACCTGCATAAAGTATTTAAAGACAAAAGGATGAGAATGAGTGAGAAACACTACAGACTCAGTTAAATTATTAATTTGACTAATTTTTTTTCTAAAATGCATACCTTCTACTTTAAGTAAAGAGCTGTAACGGGCTCTGAATACACTATATGTCGGGTATTTATCGATGTGGAATGTAATACTCATAAGGTTTGAGTCCGAACTCCAAATGAAAATGTCAAACTCTCCGCAGTATGTGTTGTTACGGCCAGTTGTCAGGTCTTTGAACTGAAGAGGTAAGAACAAAATATATATAGGTGAGTCAGATTGCCGGCAGCCGAATTATATGACACAATTGCGGTTAATAGAACTTACCTCGACAAATTCATTTCGACACTCCAATTTTGGTTTATTTTCCTTCTGCTTATTTCCAACAAGAAAGTCAGTGATGCTAACCACAACCCTATGTTCTGGGTTAACTTGTATAACAAAAGAACAGTTCTTGCCAAGTATTTCATCTCTGTTGTGTTTTAGGGATGACAGTATTCCATCTGGACTTGAGAAAAACTGGTTGAAAGCTAAGGATGTAACAATACCAAATTCAATATTAAAAGAAAAAACATATTAAAAGCCAAAGTCAATTAAATGCAAGCCATGTAAAAAAGGGTATGTGTACCTGAAACTGGGGAACGTGGTACGACACGATAGCGTGCCTTTACAGCCACATGGATGTCCTGTTGATGGGTCAAGGCGATGTTTATTTCGTTTGATTCACTCATCCAGGAAAATTCCCATTGAGTTGAGCACAATAGATCACTTCGTTTTGTTGTTCTGTCTTGGATCTGTTCAGAAAGAAAGTATATAAAACAAAATATTACATTATCCTTCGATATACTTTCAATTATGGATCTCTGTAAAATATGAATTCCACAAAATGATTTCTACCGTCATTGAATGCAAAGAGCATTGCGATCCACCATCCATCTTGAACTCCTCGAACGTGACAATGATTACTTTTGATGGACGTGTTCGTATTGTGATATCGCAATGAGTACTTTCTGGGGAGAATTCTGCAGGCCAGTTGATTATTCCAGTATCCGCAGTAAACACACGCTCACACCCTACATTTTGAATAAAAATAATTTATATTTTTCCTTAATACAATTATAAATTAAAGGGCAAAATTATGTAAAACAGCAATATATAGGTCTATATAAAGCTTAACCCCTAACTTGTGTTATTTATTTATATCGAAATGTTTACCAACGACTGATCTTGGAAGGGCTTCATAATCGGCAATAAAAGCGACGGTAGCAATCGCATTTTCGTCGTGAATAAGCACTGCAAGTTCATTTCGCGAACTTGTCCAAGTAAATGGATCTAAATGTCCGGAATATCGAGATCTATGTTCGTTGCCAGTCACCGTTATGTCTCGTATCTAGAAAAGTAAACTTTAAACTATAAAATAATATGTTTTGTAAATTCAACGAAAATGGTTCAGTAAAACATAACCAATTAATTGTAACTTTTCTTCAACACGCTTATAAAGATAGAAAAATATGATTTCGTAAGCCGGGCACTCGTTGCACCTGACGGTCGTCGGTCATACGCGATTCTATGGAGAACGCAACGCCACGACGCCCGCGCGTTCTGTCTGCAACCGACAATCAGCAGACGGCGCGCCGTGTCGGGTCGTCTAGCGCTCACCGGGATTCGTCGTACGACGCAGTGAGTGCCCGCCTTAAAAGACAGGCCTACCTCAACATAATCCTGATCTTTATGTAAATCAGAAACCTTGAATTTTACGAAGCTGAGCAGAATCTTTTCTCCTGGGCCAACATGTATTACGATAAGGCAATCGGATCCTCTGTGTGGAGGCCAGTCCGGATTCACCGGAAGCTGGATACGACCAGATTTCTCGCGCAACATCATATTACATTCTGAAAGTACATTATATCTTACATTGGTAGATATCGCTATTGATTAACATTGATTTTTTAATTTGTTAAACCAACGTGTAGGACTACGCTTATGCCTACCTGAGTTTTCTAGAGTACGAAATGGTCTTGATAGCACCGAACACGCTGCTTCAAACCCTGACTTCTCAATCTTTGAATTCGTTTTAAAAGCAATATTTGCTTCATTTGCATCAGACGTCCAGCTGAATGAATTCAGCACTCCGCAAAATATTTCAGAAGTGTTTGAAGCCACAGTGGTTAGCTGTAGAAAGAGGAAATAAAAACAATGTCACGAATTTAGGTCAAAATAAAGTAGAACAGACTATATAGAGGAGCAGGGATTCATCTGTAGTGGCGTGCCGCAGCAATATCTTATCGTTCCCGGCATAAAATGATAATCTGATATTAAATAAAATTATTTTCATGATTTACCTTTAAGTGATCGTTGATACAATCACCGCCCTCTAGTTTAAATTCATGGAAATCGACAGTAACGTACTGACTTGGCATCTCATGTATAACAATCTCGCATTTCAAATTCGGTGGGTAAGACGATGGGTAGTTAAGTGAGGTTAATATAAATGGATTTGTATTAGTTATTGCCATGCAATCTGTAACAAAATAAACGTGCATATAAAACTATTGTTATTGCTTTCTGGAACAAGGACTATATATACACTTAGATACTTTTGTTTTTGACTGTCATATTTATGGCTGCACTTATTGTAGCCACATCTATTTCAAAACTCTGTTGGTCCATTTACTCTTAAGCCGGGCACCCACTGCGGACGACGGTCGTCGGCCGACGCTATCCTATGAAGAACGAAGAACGCAACGCGACGACGCGCGCGCAACGGATCGTTTTTAATGACGATCCGTTCAGACTACTACCGACAATCAGCAGACGGCGCGCCGCGGCGTTGCATCGTCTATCGCTCACAGGGAGCGGAGTTGGATTCGTCGTGCGACGCAGTGAGTTCCCGGCATTAGAGGTCCATGCCTCGGTTTGTTTGTTTTTTGGTTTTTTTTTAATAATGATTTGGGAATAGTACTGCAAGTGAGTATAATTATGAACTGGAAACATGCGTTTTACCAGGACTTGGTTGCCTTGGGACAGCAGTAGCAGTCAAATGGAAACCAGTGTAGTCAAGCAGTTCATTTGTTTTATAGGTCAAAACAACTTCATTACTGTCTGAAGTCCACGAGAAGTTGTGATAACTGTCGCAAAAATGGTACAACCGGTTGGTACTAATGTCCTGCATCTGAAAGAAAACGAGTCGTAAAATATTTTCTTCCATTAGTTTGTTATCCCTGATACAGGCATATTATTTAATTCCCACAGTAGCATCCAAAACAAATGGACCAAATAATTGAAATAATCCAGAAGTCATAATTCAGTTTCCATACCTCCAAAAAGTCGTTTACACAAAGTTTTTTTCCCTCGACCACCAACGGTGGTTCAAAAACAAAATCGGTGAAATTCAGCAAAACTAAATGGCTTGGGGAGGTTCGAAGAATAATCTGACAGTCCAAGTTGCTTGGATATGGCTGTGGATAATTTGGAGACTCAAGCTCAACTCCAGAAATTAATTCATCCAATTTGACAACAAATCGACTACATGCTGCAAGACAAATTTCCATAAAAATAAAATATACAATTGTTAGAAACTATGCGAATCAAACAGTGATCCAATTGTGTTACAATTTTGGACTAACTTACACCTATTCGCCGGCCTTTGGGAAGTTTTGTATGCCAGTGCAAGCTTTAGATTACGTTTATTGTTCGAGATGTATTCAATAAGGACTTGGTTGGAATCTGATGTCCACGATATCAAAGCGTGTGCGCCACATAGAGTGTCGTGTCGATTTGTCAGCAAGTCAGTCACCTAAAAATGACAAAATACACGCATAAGCAATGGTACAATGTCAACAAATAAATTCAGTATGCTACTACAATTATACTTTTCGTATAAATTATACATATATATATATATATATATACATACATACATACATACATACATACATACATACACACATACACACATACACACATACACACATACATACATACATACATATATATATATATATATATATATATATAGGCCTATATTATGTTTTATTTCAACATTAAACTATGCAAAGGTTATAAATAAATATCAATATTTTTTTTTTCTTTCATTATGTGTCTAACTTACGGTTAGGGGGTTGGCACAGTCCTCAATATGTATTTGTTTAAATACGACGGAGATCCGTTTATTGGGGTGAGTGCGAATAACAATTTCACAGTTTGTTTTCGAGTAGTGGTTATGACTTGCACCACGGAATACATTTGGACTGGTGTAACTTCCAGAGTCTGCAGTAAATACCTGGCTGCAAGCTACATGTATAAATATATAAAAGTTGTATAGTGTACTAAGGGCCTACTATACAGACCTACTATAGATATTCTATATACCGGTATATCACATTATATATATATGAAATTTATTTTTACTATTGAATCTAATTTTATATCATGGAATATTTTATTTACCATAGATCGTTGGCGTTAAAGACGATTTTAGTTTTATATTTGGGTTGTATTTCTTACCATTTGCTGGAGCAGGTTTAAAGCGTTCATATGTAGCGTTGAACCAATTGAATTCCTTGTCAGAGGGCGCCCTCATTTCAACCATAAAGTAATTTGAATCAGTGAGCCAGGTGAAAGGGTGCAGCGTTCCACAATATTTATTTATGCGATTAGATTTAACATCATTTACCTGTAAGACAATAAAACAATCCAGAAAAAATGTTTTAAGAATTACTTTTATATCTAGACCTCTTTAAATTTGATTAAGTCCGAAGTCTACAAACCTCAATGTAGTTGTTATGTGTGCACCTATCGTTTCCTTCAAGAGTAAAATTATTAAACGTCAAAAGCACTCGTCTTCCGTCATCAATGGTCAAGACGCTGACTCTACAGTCTTTAAAATCAATGGATTTTCTTGGCCAATTTGGAGAAGTTATACATCCAGACTCTTTGATCATTTGACGGTTACAATTACGTGGAATAATCACGTGCAAGTTTTTGTTGTTGTTAATAGTTTCTTGTCGTTTCAAGATGGCATCTCGGAGATGTTTTGACTCTTCTTGTGAAAGCTAAAGTTTAAAAAAATCAATAGTTTTAATTACACAGTCCAAAAGTGATGTTAATGTAAAACGAGATGGGTACATCATGAATGGATTATAGGACTAATTTATTCGTTTACATCTTTATTGAATATATCATTGCAGCACATTGAGAAAAAGAAGGAAAACACCCGAAAACATCAGAAACTGAAATTCAGAACATGTATGCTAAGTTTGAATACTTTAATAACCATTTAGGAACAACGGACCTAATCGGCTAATTATGTTATAAATTCTACAGAGAAAAGATAGGCGTACCGGAAAACATTTAATCACATTTCTTACCGCGGCTTGCGCTAAAACGTTCACTGTGGCCAGCAAATAAACACGTAACGCTACCTGACACAAAACGCTCTTTCTCCCTACCATGCTTTCCAGTGTTCGATGCGATCTTAATTAATCAGATTTCCACGTTGTAAATTTACTCCAGTAATTTACATGTACACCTGAATTACAATAACGCCCTCAATAGTCTAGTGACATTACCATTCTTTTTTTCTTTTTTTTATAGCTGCTCATCATTATAAAGCGTTCCGTTTTTGATGAACATGGAATAAATGTTTTAAAATGTGTTTGTAAGAGCGCTTTAACGACTATGGTATCCCGTTTTTAATTAAAAAATGCTAATTGAATGGAGGAAGATAATAACTGCTTTGAGATAAGAAATATGGTGACGAATTAAAAGTAAAGTAGCTCTTGTTTCGCAAAACTAAGCGATGTTGTTAAGGAGACCGAGCATGGGGTGGCGGCAAGATTTGCCCAACGGGGTGGGGAGGGGGTAAGAAGGGGTCTGATGTCCCCGATGTGGGGATTCCCCGACGAGAACGTAAGTGGGCGTGTCTGGTGTCGCTCAAAAATCTCCCGGAATCCAGGTGGTGCAGCCCATGGAAACTGACAATTTAGGGGTTTCAAAGGCTTATTTAAACGATTTTAGATTCTACTAATAATATTTAAAAAAAATATATATGTGATTATTTCTTCTGCCCAACAAAATGTACTTTTCTCCCCGACGGGGGAGGGGGGTGGGAGGGCGAAGTCCTCCCCGACGGAGGCCCTGTCCCACTGTTCCCCCTCTTCCACTAACGCCTGAGGCCAAGGTTGAAGCAGTTCATCAAAAATCCTAGTACACGGAACCACGGGAGTCTATAAAACGAAGTCGGTGCTAGGTAATTTCTTTTCAAATAACAACTTGATGAAATAGTTTGTGTGAATTAGGTTATAAAGTTTCAGTTGGCAACGATATACAGTGGCGTATTTCCGGGGGGTTGGGCGCACGCCCCCCAAAAATTAATCTCATCTAGATGTGTATAAGAGACAGCCCCCACCCCACCCCGAAAAAAAAATCACGATCAGGGAGTTAAAAATCACCTAAAACCTTATTTTGCGAATTAGCGCCCCTCGACTAATCACCCCCTTCCCTCATCAGAACCCCCATTTCAAGACTTCTAGCCACTGATGATATAGATGTTTTGATGATGCAACTGTTTACCCACACATTGTAATCAGTATTTACTGAATGTCATATGAATATCAAGTCTCTACAAACCAGAATGTACGAAGATAGGCCAACATTTTAAGGTCGTTATAACCAATGTACGGTTACAGCAAAGACAAATGTCCTCAACAAATTTGAACCACCCTCTACAATCTTACTGGACACCAAGTTATATTATATAGGTCTATGACAATTTTGATAAGATGGAAACAATATTAACCCAAAATATTTTCACCCTAAACCCATTTCTAGAGTCAAATTTTCTGGATCACGAAATAAAAACACGCTCTAGCTACTAAGTAACACCACACCGTTGAAACTAATCCTAATGTTGCTCGAGGTTTGTTCTGCGTTTTAAATTATTAGGGAGATTTCGCAACCTTACGGAATCGATAACGAAAACAAATATGTCATTATCATTCCTCATTCATGCCTAAAACATTCTTGGCACAGATATGCTTCTATTGGGGAAGGGTTGTCTAAAAATTTGATGACGTAATCGTGTTCGTTAGTGTTTTCGTAAGCTTACGAAAACTCTATTATCTTCTCAAACGTTACTATAAGGGTTAAGGAGCATGTTTTTAACATCGTATTATACCAACACAAGAATGATATTTTTAAAAAAATGTTGTAGGCCTATGCCCTTATTTAGTCATGATGTGCATAATATGGTCATGATGTGATCATCAACTTTGACAAAAACATGTGGCTTAAATATGGTCAAGAACATAGGAGGAATATCATGACTAAATATGGGCATACAACAGTTTTTGTTTTTTTTTTTTATTTGTCAAATATAATTTGATAGCCTGCACAGGGCTAAGATTTCTTCTTAACACACGAGATGAGTAAACACAGCTTTCACATTTATTATATGAACTAGATCAAAATAATACACATAGGAGTATGGCGTAAAGATCAGGTAACTCCATAATACTCTTGAAACAATCCTTCAGTTCAGAAAAATCTCTCGAGGTTTGCAGATTAACCTCATTATTCCAATATTCTAACATTATTGCAAAACGTTTTACAGTATTGAAATTATATATAAAAAAGATAGGATAGGATAGGATGGCCGCAGCGATAGCTATGGCAACTTCTTTCATACTCGGATATTTCTTTTCTTAAGGGTTTATAAAGTTTATATAAATATAATAATATGAAAATACATTAAATAACGCCCTCTATTTCTGAAAATTGATCAAATTTCTCTGTGCGCTTGGCGACCAGATCTCTTAAGGATGTATTGTCCCCTGAAAATTACAAAAAAAATAATTTTAAAATTAATATTAAAAAAGTGTACCCTGATTTTTATATACTTGATAACGATAGATAAAAAAAAAAAAAAAAAAAAGCACATCCAGTGAATGGAATTTTTTCTATAACTTTCCGCTGTAAAATTATGGGTAAATATGTTCTGAATAGGTTTACAATAGTTTCTATATATAAAGTTGATAAATTGTATCTTAATTCAAAATCTGCAAGTTAATTTCAAAAATAATTTTTATGATGTTTTTTGGTATTTTTTGTGGGACAATACAAACAACATCGCCGAACATCGACGACATCGACTGTCCGTTGCTTTTTTTAGAAATTTCACTGAATATGATATTTCTCCACGACCAATTTTGAGCTTATTTACGGGTACAGAGAACAAAGACACTAAAAAATACAGTCACAGAACAATTAGAATACAGCACAAATAATATTAAAATTTACTATTATATTAAGATATTAGCACGTTATGGTAGCTGTTTCAAATCTATTTAATAATTGTGCAACTATGCAATACTTTAATAATCATGGCCAGTTATGTAATAAAAAATTATTAGAATTCGCACTTAACTTACGCTTAGGAAATCCGATTGATGTGGCGTAGGCCATTATCAAATATATCAGTGATCGTCTGTCAATATGGGATCGGAAATTTCTAAATGTCACCGCTCAGTCATAAGGCGTATTGCAATATCAAATTCGATGCTCATGTCTAACATTAAAAAAATAATAATATTCATAAAAACAAATACAATCATTTCCAATTTCTTATATGTATATAAAAAGAATATGCGTATTTCACTGCAGTTACTGGTACTTGTGTTTATATTGCGTCTCTTCCTTAAGGTTATAAATCGCAGTTCCTTTGCCTGGTCATTGGGTCCACATGCTTTAAGTTGAAGAGTTGCTGATGTGTTGCAGCACAAGTAGTATGATTCAGGAGATTAATCATTTAACACATTTTAAATGAAATAAGCTTAAATGGAAAGTCGTAAACGAGGTTAGGAGACGTTACTATACCTCTTGACCAATGCTGTAGATGACATGAAGGTTTTGCATGTGTAGGCCTAATAGCCACTTAAAAAGGTCCAGTATTAGAATATAATAATTATATTTTCTTACTCACTCCAACTAATGGTAAATAAGCAATTGAACTGTAATGCATCCTGGTCACCTAGTTGTTATTGTATTTAATTTATTATTATTATTATTATTATTATTATTATTATTATTATTATTATTATTATTATTATTATTATTATTATTATTATTATTTATTACTAGGCATTGGAAATTATTGTTACAAATCAGTCATCAGTCACCAGTCGGTGAAACTGTCAGCAGTCATGCAAATCGTTTGCGTGACTACTTCAAAACCCTAGAGTTCTGTAATTGCATTGTAATACCTTATTTCCATGGTTTCAAACATACTATACATATAAGTATACAAAAATATATGAAAGAATAAATATAATGATCTTAACAAGTAATAAATTAGCTTTTATCAGCTTCTAGCATTTTGGCTTACGTTTATATAATTACTCGCAACTCCAAAACTATATATACACTTACATGCTTTCGGTTAAAGTTGTACCGGTATTGTCCCATGCAAAATATAAAAACAAAATCATGGAAGTAATTTTAGGAATTAACTTGCTCATTTTGAAGTAACATAAAAATATCAACTTGAACATAGAAATGTGTGTATTTAAAACATGTTTACGCATAATTTTACAACGGAAAATGACAGAAACGTTTTCAGTCACTGGAAGTGTTTTACAATTTTTATTATCATTATCCATTATGAAAATCAGGTACACATTTGTAAAATTCAATAATTTTTATGCCGAAGGCCTATGTTACTGCAAAATGAGCAAGTTAATTTCAAAAGTATTTTTTATTGATTGATTTTTTTTTTTTTTGATTTTTTTTTGTCTTTTTCAGGGGACAATACAGCTTTAATGTCTCTCAAATAGAGTTAATTATTATTATTTATTATTTTACTATATTTAGGCTCATAGAGCGAGGTTTAATTTATTTCAAAATATTATCACATTTTATCGCAATCTGTGAAATAATTGTATTATCATTCATATATGCTGTTTGTTAACTATGTTCTATTTGTGCAATATCTTGAGCTATTTTTTTTTTGTAATATTTATAATGTTCGAAAATATTTATACTTTTGTTTTACTTATCAAGATGTAACAGAAAGACTTAATAAAAGTGGGCTTCCCCCAAGAAAGAGAAAAAAAAAATACCTATGAATATATGATCAGTTAACCATCAAATTTTAATAGACTTATTATTATGTACGGTACCTAAAGGATCAACATGTGATAGGTCATAAAAATGACCTAAATCTCTGCTTTGATTGGACAATGCGGCTGCCTTGATTGATTGGATAGTGGAGTAACTAAGCTGAACTCAATCTAGTGCTGTGTCTTGCTCGTGGCGGGTAGTCCGAAGTTTGGTAAGTGTCTGTTTTATTTCTTAAGATATATATACCTATATCGAGATCAATGATGATACCATATTCAAGTAGTTTCCATAAAACATCATGTGGTACAAAAATTAATAGACTGTCTCAGAGAGAAATGCGTCAACTTGGGTTTATATACTTTACCATCTTCCAATAAGTAGGCCTGCTGCTGAGAGAGGGACTGAGCACGCAGCTCGGATTCAGTCATTCGTCGCCGAGGTAGCCTGCACTTTACACTATGTACTAGGACCTGCTGCTAGGTTGTTTTTTTTTTGCCCACAAATACGAAGGACTATTTTGAATTAACGATTACTCCATATAATATAGGCACAGCTGGGGAATGGATCTGAACCCCCACCCCAGACTACGCCCATGACAGTCCTAAATTAGACTAGGCCTACCCTTCCTACAATGACCAGGAATTACTGCAGTAGGATTATTTGGCACGTCACCATAGAAATGATGTATGCAAAGTAGTCGTAATGTTAAGGTTGTATCAATGGTGTGAATGGTTAATGTGTCAAATATTATTGCATATCAAGGAAGGAGATATTTATGTACTGTAGCAGCTTTCGCAGTTTAATCATATTGGTGCTGCCCTATTTAATTTGGAAAAGTAGGTTTATTCCTGTATTACAATTGTACGATTCATGCATAATCAAGAATGAAATTACCTACCCATTAAACAACAGAAATTAAAGACCACTTTTATGCAGTTGAACATAATGTCAGATGAACATAAATGATTATTTTTCTATTAAGACCATAAAAATGCCCCTAAATTAGTTGTTTATTGCAGAGAGACCTCTAATTATGTACGGCACAGGTGTGGAATAACAATAATAATTATATAAAATTTATAACTATGGTAAAAAAAGTCCAATTAAATTGAACAATGCAATTTTTGCTGATTAGCAGACATTTTAATAGGAAAATAAAATCAGTTACCAACTAATTAATAAGAACACCATTATACTTTACTGATTGATGTATGATGATGAATTATGAGCTCCGATATAAATTTATAATCCAGGGACAGCCTGAGAAAAGCAGGTAGGAAAGAGTTAAGTTAATTTTTAATGTTATATGTTAATGTCTAAAGTAAGACATAATTTTAGGTAGATGGATAATTTGTGCTGGTCACATTATATTTAATAATAATAATATTATTATTTTAAGAATAATAAAAATAATAATAATATTACTAATGGTAATGGTAATGGTTGGAGACTTATATAGCGCATAATACATGGTCTCTATGCGCTCGGGACTAGATGTTGCACTTTACAATAACTTTCTCCTCCCCTAAGGGTCACTTCATGTCTTCAGCAACCAGTAAACCGGCGCACTTTCATCTGTCCACGACAGGGGCCGAATGAACCAGTACACCGGGGTAACCCCCTACTCATCTCGAAAGATGTACTGGGTTCTTTAAAGTGCACATGACCATTTGTGTACACTGGGCCTACAGTTTATAGTCCTTATCCGAGAAGACTTGTTCCACCACCAGAACTATAGGAGCGAGCCGGCCGCGAACCCGTGCCGATATTGTTGGCTATGATCACGGTGCCCCTGCTTTAACCGCTCAGCCATTTGGCCCACTCCTACTAGTAATGATAATAATAATATTGATAATGATTTGGAATATAAATTCTTGAATCGTGGTGGAACTGAGGTAGGTGAGGTCCCTGTTGGGAACTTTATGTCTTCTATCACGTCAGGTCAGGGAATTTCTATTCCCTGTACAGGACCTTGAAACTCCTGTTGGGAAATCTTGGCACTGCCACATGGGTGTCATGAATTATTCAAAATGAAATCACTGCAGTGAATGAATGGAAATAATTGTTGTGATAGTAAACTGTGGGCATACTGGGAATTATATTACATTGTACAGTAGTTTGACTTGGAACCTCAAGTATACCCAAAACAAAAATTCAATATTTGAATTTTGTACATTTTATATTTAAATATTGGAAATTAACTAACAGCATATAAATAATACATTTCCAATATTCCTTTGGATAGACCATTAAATAGATCAAATAAGATTATATTAGAAGTTGTCCAATGAGACATAAATGGAAACATTGTTCTCACTAATTTCCAGATCTTTCTTCTCAAAAATCCATAAATTTATTATCAACCAATTTCATTACTCTTGAAAGAGAATCCCACATGACAATTAAGGGGAAATTTGAACTTGAATGAAATCAAGGGTATTCATAAATTATTGGAATGATACTTTGATGCGTCTCTTAATTGTTATGGAAAAAATGTCACAGTTCTAATTTTCAAAGCAAGCTAGCTAGTTGGGCTAGGTTTAGTGAACCCGCCTCCTACCAATAATGATGATTTCATATAAAAACAAAATTTTACTTTTGGCCAATTAGCGTGCTCACTGCTATGAAAAAATTTAAAATTTTAGGGAAAAAAAATTTTTCTTCAGTTTTATTATGCAAAACCATTTGTAAAAATAAGAAAAAAAAAATATTTTGTTCGCCCTCATCTGACCATCATTAAAAAATATGTTTGCGAATCAAGGTATAAAAAAAGTTTTGTCTTTAAGATCAAAGAAAAAATTACATTTTTTATAGCTCACAGTATATCTGTAATGTTAGAGGTATTCTGTTATGTAGGAATAATTGCAGGCTGAAAACTAGCAGTTGAATGTACATACATACATAATAAAGAACATGATGCCTGAGTCAACAAAAAGGAACAGTCATACCAAGATTTACAGTGTTTTTGTTTTGTTTTACTACAGCATACGCTAATACCAAAGTCGGTGCAAACTGTAGCAGGGAACATTGCAGATCTCTCTTGAAACATTTATCTTGGCTTTGGTGATTGTTCTGTACCACATATCCAGACATTTAAAAAGATTTTGTAGGCTTTACAATTTGTTTTAATGCTTGTTGTGATGCCTGCTTATGTTGTAATCATTTTTGTTCAATTTTCATTTCATATTGTCAGTGCATTCTGGTAAAATAATACCCTTTGAGTGAAACAAACTTCTGTTTAAATATAATTTTGTTTTAATTGTAGGAATTTTTGCTTTGTTATTTATTGATTTATTTATGCTCTTGTGCAATCCAGTCCTTTGATTGGTGATGTATACTAAAACAATTCATTCTCCGATATCTTTCATTTATTGAAAATGTTTTCAATAAATGAAAGATATTGGAAGTTAATGGATTCATAATAAACCTGATAATAAAATGTAAACCTTGGGTTTATTGATATCAATACCATACTCAGCATGTAATTATAAACTTAATTGTATTTGTAATGATAAGATTTATACTTAACTGTATTGATTACACTGTAACTCTAGATGGTCTCATAGAGGCAGGTTGTGAGGACCCAAACGAGTAGCACATTCTAGACACTACATTATGAATAAATAAAAATTTCTCCATGAATTTATCATGACCGATTCACCTACTGCAGTTCACAGAGTGGTCGTGCTACGGGCTCTGAACCCCAAGGTCAGAGGTTCGAATACTGCATTGGTCATTCTCTTGTGACATTAAGCAAGGTGTTTAATCTTCATCTGTCTCCATCCTGCATAAATTGACACCTGATGAATGTTGTATTTCGAATATACTCGGTCTATTCTTTAAATATTCATGTACACTGTATGAGCGGAGGATGTTGCCACATAATATAATTTTTTTGTACGTATCTAGTTCCATCCACCTGCCTGATTAATGCATTAATCCCAACTGACAAAAGAGTAGTGTCAAAAAACAGTTTGTATGCAGGATTTAAAACAAAATTAAATGAACCTACATATTGTATAGATTGTGGGATGTCATTCATTATTTCAGGAGCAGTCCTAGAAAATGTTTTTAACCCCAATTGATTTCATGGATACTATTGTCCTTGGAAGAAGAGGCTTTTCTGAAAAATGCACATTTCCAGCCTACTCATTAGTTTGATGTGTGAGTTGAAAACCAAATTAATGATTGCTTAAGGTTATTTCAAAAATTTTAGGAGCAGAAAACACTTTTAACCTGATTGATTCAATTCAATCTTTATTGGTCCAGTATATAAAACAATACATTAGAAATTTTTTGTTTATATACTGCATTGTATAAAAGGAGGAAATTCAATATATAAAAGATTAAGAAACACAATTCAATTTACAATTCAAAAGAAAGGTTAAATTAATAAAAGGAAAAAACAATATTCAATATACAGTATACAGTTGAAATTAAAACCTAAATTTGGTAATTACTGTACAATTTAATTAATGATATAGATTGATATGATCCCGGTGTTCTCTCCATAGGTAGCAAAAATTATCTTTCAACATATTTGTTGTAAATTGCAATAGAATATGGGACAAATGATTTGTTATAGCGTCTAGGTAAGGAGCGGATACGGATATGGGATAGGAGAAATTTGTACTCGTAGAGTTGGTGATCAGTTTCAGAAAGTATATGTTTTACCATTTAGAGACTATTTTATGTTGTATTCAAGTAGAAGCTTGTGAGAAGAATACAAAATTATACTGTACCTATGTAGGAAGTGCAGGGGTCCCAAGTTTTGTGGGAGTATTACAAAAAAATAAGACTGTCTATAGCTATAGAAATGCAAAAATAATTATTATAGCTCAATCTCATAAATACTATACTGGTTATTTATGTACTGAAACTAGCGTATTCAAATATGGACACTTTTAAGGACGTCATTGTCGTAAGCAAAAGATTCAGTGTGGTATGTTGCATTGTCATTCCATTCGTCTTGGACAAAATGACGTACTGTATCTTATAGAAGGACATCATTGTCGTAAGCAAAAGATTCAATGTGATATGTTGCATTGTCATTCCTTTGGTTCTCGGACAAAATGACGTACTATATCTTATAGAAGGACATCATTGTCATAAGCATAAGACTCAACATGATATGTTTACATTTTGATGCCTTTTGTCTTGGACAAAAATGACGTACCTTTAATGATCATTTGTGAAGCAACTCTCCAAGGA